CCCCAAAACCCCAAAACCCCAAAACCCCAAAACCCCGCAAGAGTAAAATAAACTAAATTAAATTTGGAATCTTAATCAAATATAATTCATAAAAATTTAAATGGCATCTGCCGCTGCTAAGAACTCAGTTGTTGCCCCAACTGGCCAAATTAAATCCTTCGACACTCTTAGAAATATCCTGAGAGGTACCAGAAATGAAACTGGGTCAGTTGATCTCTACCAGCATTTGGTTGAGGTGATGAATCATATTGTGATGCACTGTCCAGATAAGGGACTCGACTAATTCGAGGAAATCAGTTACTTGTTGAAAAACAAAGACAGGATTGATATGACTAAATTCCTGAGAATTGATGAGGCTCAACATTACAATAACCAAAATGAAAACTATTCTGCGTTAGTTGAGAAATTCACAAACATTGCCAAAAAGTTCTTTGAGGTAACTCTTATCTTTTGAAATTCAAAGTCAATAAAATTTTATTTAGAGCAAACAACCTGCTTAGGAGGGAACTGAAGAAGGAGATGATGCAGGCGCTGCTGCTGATCTAGCACCAACTGGCTTCGTTCCAGATCTACTCAATGATGTTAAAATCTATCAATATGCTGGAGTAGGTTTTGGAGATAATGAAACAGTTTTATTGATGAAATCTCTAAAGCAGTTAGCAATTTCAACTGGAGCTGATATTAAACTTTGGGGCAAAATTCATGGAACAAACCAAGATTACTACATTGCAGAGGGAACTAAGTTCGATTAGAATTAGATTGAAGAACCACCTGCTGATTTTGAGGCAAGAGGAACAGGCATTAACAAGCAGGTATATTGGGCTTGTAACAGTCCATTATCTTCCTGGACACTTCTTCCAGATCTCCATCCTAAGGATATTAGAGCTGCAAGATCTATCAAAGTAACGTTCACTGGAAATCTTGAGAGTCCAATCTACACCAACCCATTCTTCTTTGGGAAAGAAAAGCACTATCTAAGAGCATAAATCGCTCGTATTGGACACTCAACTACATTAGTTCCAAAGGGAATCTATAAAACTGTGGAAGATAACGAGAGAGAAATCGAAGAAGTTACCTCAGATGAGGGCCCAATTAAGCCACCTTCCACTCTTTTAATGGGAAAAGCCGAATCGTGGGTTCATCACACTCCAAACATTCTCAAATGCAATAGATTGGCTCATATGGAACCTGAAAACGTTGGAGAAAATGATGATCCAGAAGTCATTAAGAAGCAAATTGAGGCAGCTGATCCATTCGAAAAGAGACTCAAGCCAATTGTCTCAGATAGAAACGTTAAAGGTGGACTCCCCGCTTGGGTTGTTAGACTATAGGGAGACACATCTACATTCTAGCATCCAATTAAAGCAACTGAGGTCTAAAACTACGGAGTTGCTGTTGTAAAATCTCTTCAATGGCCTGGAGCATATACCTTCTATTCACAAGGAAGATGCTATTAGATCTATGTTGGTGATGGACAAAAATACGAAGAGCAAACCTACTACCCCATTTTCCCACCAAAGATTCTTGCAGACCCAGAAGAAAAGCCACTTCAACATGAGGTAAGATATTTGCTTATTGATCTTTATTATAGCCTTAACCATTAAACTATGTTGAGAATTAATAATAGAATCAAGAGTAGGAGCAAAATGAATGATGATTTAGTGCTTGGATTAACTCAATATTTTCATATTATTTAAGCCTTAATCCAAATTCAAATTTGTTACCTGAGGGGTTTTGGGGTTTTGGGGTTTTGGGGTTTTGGGGTTTTGGGGTTTTGGG